TGGAGTTGGGTTTGTTTATACCCAGAGCTACTACCATTTTACATAGCACTATGGTTGTGTAGTGGGTGTTTTTGTCATGCAACACGTAGAAAAATGTTAGCTTTATCTCTAGACTATGTGAGTGTTTTTTGACTTGCTTTATTAAGCATGCGTTGTATTTTTATCACTATTTTTTTGTCAATTCCAAATCACATTGCCCTTGGAGGTACCTGTTGGATGCATCAGCCTAATAACTGTGGATGCATACTATACAGCGGTGGATGTCTATGTAATATAGGCTGATTCGGTTTCCACAATGAAGAGATATTATAATCCTGCTAACACTAAACTGTGGCTCAACAAAAAAACCTTTTTTATTTTTTGAGCTTTTTGTTACCTTTTGAAATAGGATTAACCTGTTGAAGGGAATGTTGCGCTTTCATTTTCTCTTAGAAAAAAAATAAAAATAAAATAAATTTGCTATCTAATGCAGAAAGTATATAGAATTATTTACATTTTTTTAATGCATAGGAAGATGAAATCAAGTCTAATTAGGAAATTCAATAAATCATGTAAAGTGGTTGGGCTAAATTATAGAAATTACATTGTTTTTTCATTTTGGATCGCCTCTGTCAACATGGTGGAAAGCATACATTTCCACTCACCTATTTTATTATCAATAATAAGTTGCATGTGTGTATCCTCGTAGTTTTGTTCTTACTAACTCTTTCTTTTCTTTTTTTTTTTCCCTATTTTTTTCCTTTTTGGTCACTAAATGTTAAATATTGCCAAAGTATAGAACAAATGCATGACACAAGCATAAATGCACATATTATGCATTTGCATACATATAATTGCATACATACTTGTATGAATGAGAGTAATTAATAGTCCGCTCTCAGTTATATATGTCATGTTGGCATGAACTTAAATATGCTTATTTGATCATTGGCTAAATTTGGCTATTTTTGCAGATTTAGTTATCATACATCACAAACCTATATAGTTCTCGTGTTACATTAACTAGGGCCATAGGGCAGAGGCACTTGGCTTGTTCTTTGTTTTCCCTCTCCCAAATAAACTTATTCTACGAAACACCTTCAGTAATCTGCTCGCATACTTTTTGTGGGAAGCAAAATTCACAGAACCAATGCAAGCACTCACTTGTCCAAGTGGGTTTCTCTTCTTGCTCAATGTTCTTCCCTCCAGACCATAAGGCCTCAAGCCCTGCGGATTGGTAGAATTTGGTTCTGATTTCTTTGGAACCGGTTCTTTTTTTGTAGAGATGTTCTGTATTTGAAGGGTTTTCTTCAAGGACATGAGTTCTTGTTCAAGACTCTGAATTCTGAAGCTTGTGGATTCATATTCCTTCCTCGACAACTCAGACCTTTGAATTGCTGCATCTTTTTGTAGTGTTAATATATAATTGTTAATTGTTAATTAGCTTTAGCTTTAGTATATAAATTGTATAGCTTTAGCTTTATTCCTTTTGTTGCTTTCGGTGATAGTGGGTTTTGTTGGTATCCAATGTTTCATTCTTCTCTCTATAAAGAGAGAGTTCCTTCTCTTTGTAATTATCACATACAATACAGAAACACATCAATCAATACACAATTTATTCTCTCTCTTTCTCTCTATCAATTTATCTTACAGAAGAAATCAAATCATCAACCAAGAAATACGAAGAAGAAGATTTAATCTTTTATTTAGGCAAGTTGTATTGTATTATTTGTGTAAGCTATATATTATTATTATTCAAGAACAAGAATTTGCATTTTGTAAAATAAACCAAGTTTTGTTCTTAATGCTGCTATCTTATCTTGCTTTTAAAAACTTAATATGATATTTGGAAGACGATCTGTGATTTTTCATCAACCGAAGACTGGTAATCTTTAGCAGCATACACAATAGTACTAGTATAATTATTCCAGACAAGAAACAAAGCCTCTTTTGTCTTAGAATAAAACAAAATCATGAAATTTTATTGTGTTTTTGTTGTTGTTCAATGATGTTGCATCAGACTGCTAAGCTATATTATTATTGAAGAATTTGCATAATATCAGCTTGAAGAAGCCATCTTAAAAGCTGATTTGCTTTATAGTCCACATTGCAATTATGCTCTGCTACTGTAAAAGCAATGGGCTATGAAGGTTCTTGACTAGTATATTATAAACAGAGTCTTAGGTTGTGTGTGGATCATAAATTTGGATATGAATATAAAAAGGAAAAATGTGAGAGAGATGTGAATAAAATATAAACTAAATTTTTTCTCCATTTCCCTTTCCTTTTTAAAATTCCTATCCAAATTCATGATCAAAACACAACATTAATGTTTTTAATTTGGTCTCCAATCTCTGCATTGCAAACCCTGAGTTTCTTTGGCTTAAATAATCACAGTGCTATGTGCCTTGCCATCTTGCAGAACAAACCTGAGTTCATCATACTTGTTTTCTTTTGTGATTCACGTAGTCATATATATTGTATGCACCCATGGAATGCATTAGCAGCATAAAACATACAGGTGTTAAACTAGTATTTTTCTCATCTTTTTTTTCCTACTATTGTACTTTTGCACGGGTGAAGACCATGTTCTGTTGTCTTCAATCTAAAGCTACCTTATATATGAAACTCTGGCGTTGACCGAGAGGATGTTCTTCGTCACTTCTTGTTCATTGAAGGCTCAGGTTTTTACCACCAAGGGTCCATTGGTTAGACTCCTCTCTCTCTTTCTACATGTCTCCATGCATGCTTTCATGTTTTGTGCACAGCAAAAAATTACTTACGCTTGTATATATGGTTTGTTTTTGACATGACTGAGCCCAAAAAATAATTTAAGAGGGAGTGAATTAGGTTTCTACAAATTAAAATTAATAATACCCTAATAAAATTAATCACTAGTACAACAAATTATTAACAAGCACAATGATGAACTTAGCAGTAAATGATCAAGCAAAATAACAATGAAGTATAACTAACATACAGGGTAAATCAAATGATTAACCCATGAATATTAGATAGCTATAGTAATAGTAGGAAAGTAAAGAGATTATGGAAGAGGAGACAAACAGATTTATAGTGGTTCGGCTTCAACCAAGCCTACATCCACTCATCAAGCTTCACTTGAGATTTTCCACTATCTTCTAGTTTTACAGGGGTGCTAGCAACCTTTTTACAAATTGAGCAATCCTCCACGGATTTTACACTGACTTTACAAGCCCAAACCCTTGCAAATCTTAAGTGATTCACAATCACTCTCAAGATTTCAAGAATACAATGTTTTCAACACTTTTACAAGATGAAATAGTATTTTTACTTTCAAAGAAAGGTTACAATAAATATCTCTTAAAGATAGATGTATAAAATGAAACTTTAATTTTTCTGTAAATCTCACACAGGAAAGATGAGCTTAATGCTATAAGGCTCGGTATATAATTTCTGAGAAAAAGATGTGAGTGATTACAGATCAAATAATATTTTCAAGTTTTTTGTAACTTCTTTACATTAGAGATTTTGGTATATATAATGAAAATTATAGCCGTTTATAGCCGTTGTATTCATTTGAATTTATAGCCGTTTATAGCCGTTGTACTTCCATCATTACCAATTTGAATATCTTCCACTCTATCATTATCATTACAAATTTGAATATCTTTCACTTGAACCTTTTGGCCTTTTGAACCTTTATAGTCGTTTATAACCGTTGTACTTTCATCATTACTAATTTGAATATTTTTCACTTGAACCCAGCTTGCTGCTGTGCTAAGCTGTTTGAACCTTTATTTTGGACTGTTTGAACTGCTGATTTAATCAAATATTAAATACATTCTAACAACATTTAAGATAAAGGTTTATGTGAGAAATAATGAGACAAAATAAATTTTGATTATATTTTTCTCTTTCAAATAAATCATCAAAATAAATTTTGGATTCTGTTTTTCTCTTTCAAATAAATTAAAACATAATTAAATAAATCATCAAAATAAATAAGTCTAACATTTTTGTTATTAAAAAACACAAAAAGAAAGAAATAAAGAAAGAAAAAAGAAAGAAAAGAAAGAGGACATGGTTTTTGAGTTTTTTTTTTTTTTTTTGAATTGGCTTTTTTTTTCTTCGTCGAATTGGCTTAATCAGTAGTAGTCAATGGAAGAATACATGCCCTTTTGATCATCTGAAAAATTCGTCCCATGCTGAATACAATGTGAGTGCAGAACTGATTACCTCATTTGACAGAGGTAATACTTTTCTGTGAATTTGTTTTTTTTTGTGGCAACCATATCAAAAGGTCGAACTCTAACCTGTTCACATTTGATATTGCAACAATAAATCTCATTTATGGTCTCTGTGAGAAGTTTTTGACATCTAATCTCTGTTGAAGATTTTTAATTACAAATGATTTTTTTATTTTTTTTTTAAGCGAGTGTGCAAGTGCAATTTCAAGTCTCGTTTCAGTTATTTGACATTGCAGCTGCATTGAGAGTATTGTCGTACTTGCCCTCACCTTATTCCGCGTTAAACACTGCTGGTAGTCCTGACTTCTTTAAGGGATGCTGTTTATGATTATGTTGCCAAGCAGCGCTATAACTGGCTTGGGAAGGAGGATGACTGTTTGATTCTGCAAGAGAAAGAATTGCTCGAGCGATTTATAGATTGGGAATAAATGTTGGATCGTGGCCGACGTGATCTATGATTGGCTCCCATAATTCAATTAGCCACAAACCACATTTTGGATAGAGTTTTTGTTAGATGTCTTTGTCACTTTTCTCAGAAAGATACTATAATGTAAAGTTGTAAATGCACAGTATCTTGTGGAGTGTTGAATGCACTATATAAATGAAATTGCCTTTAGTGAGAGTAGAACTTAATTTTTGTCGCAATGTGATTAGACAATCTTCTGATCAGCAAAGAAGAATTAAGAAGCACTGAACTCATGCTTTTGCTATAATCTATTCTAAACAGCTACACCAAACGGGCCAATGCATCCATTTATGATACACATCCACTAGTGATTCGGCAGAAGAGAGTGAAAATAAGTTTTTCTCCAAGTTATAAAAACACACATTTATCATTTCTCAAAATTCATTAATCAAAAATCTTATACAATCCAGTATAAGCTCCCTATTACTGTCGCTACAATGAAACCTATCGAAAATTTCCACTCCAATTGATTTCCAATTTAACTATAACAGGGTAAACTACAACACAACTATTCAAAACTTGCTCAATAAACTTAGAATTCACCTGAAAACTCAACAATATGATAACTTCAGCAGAGTAGAGAATATTGAGGATGCAGTGTTATTGATTGCTATCAGCACTGGTCCATTCCTTCCAATCCTTGTCGACATGAGCTTGGGCCCATTTAACTGCTGCACGTGCGGCTTGTGGTCCTCCAGGCAAGCCCTGCTCATTCAAAGTATCAGCCATGTCGATAAAAGGTACCACCAAGAGTGTACCCGGACCCCCATACTCAGTGTGTAAGAAGGTGTTGAATATCTGTTAAAGATGACACATCAAAGGGTAAAATAGTTCAGCATCTGTATTCTGTAATCTAAATAGCATCGACAAAAACATTGTAAGCAGGTTATCTGATGAGCCCCCACAAACGAGAGAGAGAGAGTAAATCTCCAGCCAACAAGAGTAATTCCACGCACAATAACATGACAGGTAGTTCACAATTTGATTATGAAGTCATTCTGAAGGGTCTTTGTACATCCTATTTCAAGCTTGAGACGACATTCTTATCTTACTTCTTTCCTTGTGTTTTCAAATTATTTCAAAGCATCAAAAGTAGTCATAAATTACTTTTATCGCCCAATTTTCTGCTTTGTTGCACTTTATTTCCGACAGCAATGACACCCTGCAAGTAACCATTCCTTTTGGTCGTTGTACCTCTCTCTTCTCGAATATGGAAAAACCTAAAATATGTCTTGCCAATCCCTACAAAATGTAGTTTTTCTGGAGGAAATTCCAAAGAGCACAATGGAGGTTTTCTTTGCCATTTCTTTGTCTTTTTCCATAATAATGTAAACAAACACGTTTTTCAAGGTTGTTTCTTGGGGGAGAAATCTATAGTCAGGGACATGGTATTTGTAGGCTGAATTTCCAAGTGGCTAAGAAAAATAACAATTTTATTTTGGTGGTTGTTTCAAAAGTTTTCTCAAGTCCTTGTTTCTTAATTTGCTAAAATACATTCGTTTGAGCCTATTCTGATCAGGAAGATAACAAAATCAGCGAAAAAGAAATTCGTTCAAGCCTATTGTGATCAAAAGCTTTCATCTTGACCTTTAAATAAATGGGAGAGATGAAATTTATCGGATAATGTAAGGTGCTTACTTTCGAAACTGTCTTCTACCATAAGAAACTGAAATAAGAAATTCTAAGGATTAAATAAATGAAATTGATAGTTCAGAATGAAATAGGAAAAAATAACCATAATTTCGGGGATAAAAGTGAAATTCAACATATATATGCAATCTCTCTCCTTTTTGCTTGAGATATGCAGTCTCAAAAACATACAAGAAAAATTTATAAAACCAACATAAAAAAAGAAAGGAAGAAGGGAAAAGAGAAGGAAAGAAAGAGCTACCTCAGTGCAGATTCCAACAACCTCATCTAAAGAATCTCCAAACAAATCATCCTTTTTGGAGAGTTTCTTAATAAGATGATTCCTAAACTTCTCTGTCTCCTATTCCCACATATTATTACAATAAAGCAAGAAAACACAAGCACTCAGTCACTGAAATTTAACACAAGCAAATCAACAAACAGGTAGAGGGCAATACTCACTGCGTCAGCAAATTCAGGAATTGGGTCTGGGAATTTGTACTCTGCAGCCCTGCAAATCAGCCTTGCGGAAGAGAAAGAAGAGTATGGGGTAGATGGGTAGTGAGAAAGGCTTTTCTTGCCCAGTGAAGAGAGTGTATGAGAGTGTTTGAAGCTAATGGTACTACTGGAGTGAACATTGTATGTATTTGAAATGTGAGCTAAAGCACAACAAGTATTTGTTGAGGAAGAGGAAGAAGAAGAAGAGAAAGAGGTGTTGAAGAACAGTGAAAGAGAAGGATTTGAGGGTAAAGGAGGAGAAGATTTGAAGGTTAGAGGGAAAATAGATATAGCCGAAGCCATCTCTATTTCTTTTCAAAGCAGAAAATGGCTCTTATCTATTAATAAAGGGAAATTTATTGGAAATGTTTTAAATGGTTTATTGAGAAGTTTTTATTAGATACAACAATGTGATCAGTCGGTTCTTTTTAAATGTGGAGAAGTATTGGTTAGATGATATATTTTCACTAATTAATTGGGAAAGTTTTTTTTTATTTTAGAATGTATAATGGGTATGGTGTGATATTTTAATATGACAAGTATTAATGTGATACTCTAAAAACTCAAAAAAAAATAAAAATTCGTTAATGTACTTTTTTTAAATGTGACAACGTGACAGATATGATATGACACTTCAAAATTTTTACTTATATTTAGTATACTTTTTCCACATATGATAATGTGATAGATATGATGTGACACTCCAAAAAAAATAAAGGGTATGTTTGGTTTGAGTTTTAGAGATGAGTTTTAAAAAAAAAATTCAAAAAATTGTTTGGTTTGAGATTTTTCTCAAAAAAATTTCAAAATCACTTTTTCTCTCTTACACATCAATCAATCACTTTTTCTCTCTCCTCTCTCCTTCTCAATCACTTTTTCTCTCACACACATCTACTCAATTACAACAAAATATCAAATCATTCCAAACTCTCAAACTCCAAAACAACTTTCAAAATATACAACCAAACAAACCAAAAAAATTTCTAAAACAACTCTCCTAAATTTTTTTCAAAAACAACTCTCCCAAAAACAAACCAAACAAGCCCAAAAACTCCTTCGTATACTTTTTTTAGATGTGACAACATGACAAGTATAATGTGACATTTTAAAAAAAATTAAAAACTGCTTAGTGTACTTTTCTTAAACGTGACATGTGACAATTCAACGTGACGAACCCAATTTGATTGAATTACCGCGTGCCTTCATGTCATGCGCCAAAAAACAACTAGTAATGAATTCATGTCCTCACACTGTGCGGGTTAAAAATAACCAAATTTTAAAAAGTTACTAGTGCGCTTTTCAAACAACGTGACACACAAGCACTCCACCACTTTCCCTATACATAACCATACCACCTATCTCCCAACTGTACTAACAATGGCAAAACAATTAACAAATAATTTAAGGGACTACTCAGTCACCAAAAATACATTTCGAACCTTATGAATTACAACTCTACAAAAACGAAATTTACTGGTCAAATCCCCATTAATAAATACTAAGGGTTGGTTTGGCATAAACTAAAAAATACAAAAAGTCAAAAATTCACTATCCTATTTAAGTCACATCATCTTATTTAAATCACATCACCTCTCTAACACATCACATCAAACCCAACCCAAACCCAACCCATATAAGCCAATAAGTCAAAAAGTGCATTTTTTTAGAACATCCCAAAACCAACCCTAAATAAATAAAGATATTTACTTTACATAAAATAAAAATAAAAAATGTTGAAATTACAACTTTGTCCTCATATTATGTCCTAATATTTTGAAAAATACTTAGAGATACAAATTTTTATAATACACTCACATGACACGTGAATATTTAGTAAAAATTTGAAATCTATATCATTTTTATAATATTTTTAACCCACAAAATAAAACTCATGCCACCATCTATTATGTGGGTGTTTGGAAAGTTGCTATTTTAGGAGGTTATTTTAGTTTTTGGCTATTTTAGGAGGCTAAAATTTGTGTGTTTGAGAAGATAGTTGGATTTTTTTGTAATTAGATGTGATGTTTGTGAGAGAAAAAGTGAAATAATCATGAATTTGATGTGGCATTTTGTGTTATTAACTATTTTAGCTTATTTTGTCTTTTAGTGCTATTTTAACCCAAAAAGCCAAAAAATGTTTCTTCCCAAACACCTTTGGTTTCAATTTTTAAAATTTAATTTTCTGAAAATTGAGTTTTTTATTTTTCGTATTTTTTTGTTTTTAATGAATATTTTTAAAATTTTAAGCAATTTTTTTTTAAACTTTTTTAGATGCACCTTACTTAGATGTATCTAAAAAGTAAAATATTTATAAAAAAAATAATAAATACAAAAAAATATAAAAATATACTGAATTTTCGTAATTTTTTTTTTTATATTTTTGATATTTAGTGAATTTTTTAAAGATTTTTTCACAAATATTATACCTTTTAAGTATATTTATGTTAGGTATATTTAAAAATTTTAAAAAAATTGCTTAAAATATTTAAAAAATTCAATAAAAAAAAGGAAAAAACAAAAAAAGTTTAATTTTCTAAAAAGTGAATCCATAATTATGAAACCAAACAAACTGATTAATTTTAGGAAAATGTCTCACACGAATGTATTTGGTCATATGTTTGGGTGTTGCTATTTACACATCACATTTATTTTCAAGACACACCAATACTTAATTCACACATTTAATAATTTAATGAATAATAAATTTGTTCAATACACACCACAATGTTCTATTTTCACCCTAAATCACACACTCCACCACTGCCACCACCACTACCACCTGCAACCCGGCTCTGTTACTGACGCCGGTGTAGCCCCTCCTCCTTCCCCTCTTTTCTTCAAGCCACCATTGCGATATGCTCTTTAGCCTCTCCCACTTCAAATCTACGATTTCATAGGGTAAAGATTTAGGGTTCAGAGGCGAGAAAAAGAAGAAAAAAAAAAAAAGAAGGATGAGGGAAAGAATAGTAGGGGAAAGGTATCGGAAGGAAAGGGTTGGAGAGGGAAGCTGACGGGAGAGGTGCTACAAGGGTGGCGCAGAGGGGTGGGAAGGATGGCACAAAGTTGGGGTGGCGGTATCATCACTGACGCCGACTAAGGTTTGTAATGGCACCATAGATCTTCCACTCCCTCTCCATCGCCACCAAAACCGCCTTCCACAAAAGCATGAGAGAGAGAGAGAGAGAGAGAAAAAAAAAAAAAGAGGTGCAATTTACTAAAAAGGAAGATCGCGAAATCTAAGTTATGGAGGAGTGCTTGCAATTGAGGAAGAAGGTGAAAGAGGCACTGGCGGCTGCGAGAGGATACAAGAGAGGGGTTGATAGCGGCAGGAGGTGGGGAAGTCACTGGCTGCGGTGACAGAAGGATGAGATGCTGGTTAGGGTTTTTGAGGAGAGAGAAAAGAGAGAAAGTAGAAGAAGATATTTTGGTAATTCTTTTTATGGATAGAATAATAATTAAAAAAAATTTAAAAATGGTGTGGGATGAGAAAATTAGTGATGTGTAAATAGAGACAATCCATTTGTTTGGTAAAAAATTTGGTATCCCTAATATTATCCTTAATTTTAAAAAAAAAAATTCTCTTTCTCTCTCTTACTATTAGTGCCAACCACCACCACGCCAACCCTTCCTTCACCGTCTGCCAACTCTTTCTCCACCTTCTACTGCCATTGCTATCTCCACTCCTTTTTTCATCCTTCATCCCATTGTCACCCCCTTCCCTTTCTACCTTGCAACTCTCTCCCCCAAAACACTATGTAAGTGTGGTAGGTAGAGTTGAGTGTGTTAGGTGAGAGTTGAGTGTGGTAGGTAGATGTAAGTGTGTTAGGTGAGAGTTGAGTATGGTAGGTGAATATGTAAGTGTGTTAGGTGAGAGTTGAGTGTGGTAGGTAGATGTAAGTGTGTTAGGTGAGAGTTGAGTGTGGTAGGTGAATATGTTTTTTCTCTTCTATATATAGGAGAGTCATTGTATACAAACATATATCAATAAATAATACATCAATTTTAACTTGGTATCAGAGCCATAGGTTAAGCTCTTGGTGCTCTTCGCCTTCTAGCGGGCGGCAACTTTGCCTTAACCGCCCGCCAGACCTCAACCAATTGAAACCTCCAACACATACCTCCTCTCCAATCACCGCCAATAACCACTGCAGCAACTCAAACCACTGCTAGCTCGAATTGACGCCAACTCTTCTCGCGTCCAGTATTTTCGTTTCGCGTCTCTCTCCTTCGATCTCGACTGTTCTTCGTTCGCAGTTTCTAACTTTTTGGTCAAGTGGAATTGCTTTGAACAATGGTGTTCTTCAGAAGCGTTTCTGCGCTTTCTAAGCTACGTTCTCGTGTTGTTCAACAATCAAGTTTTAACAACTCTGTACGATGGCTTCAAATACAAACCTCTTCTGATCTTGACCTTCATTCTCAGCTGAAGGAATTAATTCCAGAACAACAGGAGCGCCTGAAGAAAATGAAGTCTGAGCATGGAAAGGTTCAACTGGGGAACATTACAGTTGATATGGTACTTGGTGGAATGAGAGGAATGACAGGTTTGTTGTGGGAAACCTCATTACTTGACCCTGAAGAGGGCATATGCTTTCGGAATTTGTCAATACCTGAATGTCAGAAGAAGTTACCAGCGGCAAAGCCTGGTGGGGAGCCATTGCCTGAGGGTCTCCTTTGGCTCCTTTTAACAGGAAAGGTACCAAATAAAGAGCAAGTAGATACATTATCCAAGGAATTACGAAGCCGTGCCACAGTTCCAGATCATGTGTACAAAGCTATTGATGCCCTTCCTGTTTCAGCTCATCCAATGACCCAGTTTGCAATGGGTGTCATGGCTCTTCAGGTACAGAGTGAATTCCAGAAAGCATATGAGAAGGGGATCCATAAATCGAAGTTGTAAGTGTGGTAGGTAGAGTTGAGTGTGTTAGGTGAGAGTTGAGTGTGGTAGGTAGATGTAAGTGTGTTAGGTGAGAGTTGAGTGTGGTAGGTGAATATGTTTTTTCTCTTCTATATATAGGAGAGTCATTGTATACAAACAAATATCAATAAATAATACATCAATTCTAACATGGTATCAGAGCTATAGGTTAAGCTCTTGGTGCTCTTCGCCTTCTGGCGGGCGGCAACTTTGCCTTAACCGCCCGCCAGACCTCAACCAATTGAAACCTCCAACACATACCTCCTCTCCAATCACCGCCAATAACCACTGCAGCAACTCAAACCACTGCTAGCTCGAATTGACGCCAACTCTTCTCGCGTCCAGTATTTTCGTTTCGCGTCTCTCTCCTTCGATCTCGAAAGCCTCAGGCCTCGTTTTGGTTTATATCGACAATGCCGAAGAGGACGCCACGACACTCTGTCGGTCACGTGCATCGCCGCGTGTCCGGTGCCCCTTTTGATGGCTCGACGCTTTCTGTCGGGCACGTCTTTTGATGAAGTGGGCGCGCCTTTTGAGGGCGCGACTTTTGAGGGCTCGATATATATATCTACATGTATATCTTTTGGGCAGCCTATATACACACTCATACAGTGTCTTCTACAGCGGTCCGACATGACCCAAATAAACTGTTTTCTACAGCGGTCCGACATGACCCCATAAACTGTCTTCTACACCGGTCCGACATGACCCAAATAAACTGTCTTCTACAGCAGTCCGACATGACCCCATAAACTGTCTTCTACACCGGTCCGACATGACCCCATAAACTGTCTTCTACATCGGTCCGGCATGACCTTGTAAACTGTCCAGACATTATCTTCTCCAACGGTCTGACACGACCATACCGTGTCTCCTATCCTGTTTTATTTTATTTATCAGTTTACTTTCCTGTTTTGTTACTCTCTCCAAACTCAAGTTGGTTAGTATCTATCCTCCTTGAGTTTGAGGGGGGCTGTAAGTGTGGTAGGTAGAGTTGAGTGTGTTAGGTAAGAGTTGAGTGTGGTAGGTAGATGTAAGTGTGTTAGGTGAGAGTTGAGTGTGGTAGGTGAATATGTTTTTCTCTTCTATATATAGGAGAGTCATTGTATACATTCAATATAACATTAATCAATAATACAATCAATTTTATACATTGAATTTTAACACTCACCAACCAGTCAAAGCCAAGGGAGAGGAGAGAGAGAGAGAGAGTGTAGAATACAATTTTAAATTCAAAAAGTAGTCTTCTATATACATACACAACGTTTATCTATGGACAGAGAAAGAGACTATTCAAGGAAAAGGTGACATAAAGTAAAGGCTAGGCTTACCCTACCCTAGGGTGACCAGCCATGCGGTTAAAGAAAGAAATAATAAAAATATATTTGAAATCAAAATGAAAGATGGGGAAATAAGGAAAGTGATTTGGAGAAAATAAATAAAAATAATAGATTTTGAAATCAAACGGAGTAGAGAGAGGGGACAAGCCCATGTGAGTGAAAGAGGGGTTTAAATTGATGTATTATTTATTGATATATGTTTGTATACAATGACTCTCCTATATATAGAAGAGAAAAAACATATTCACCTACCACAGTCAACTCTCACCTAACACACTTACATCTGCCTACCACACTCAACTCTCACCTAACACACTTACATATTCACCTACCATACTCAACTCTCACCTAACACACTTACATCTACCTACCACACTCAACTCTCACCTAACACACTCAACTCTACCTACCACACACACTAGCCACCACAACCACCTTCAAACCCCAAATTCAACCTCGTAAGAGAAATTCTATGTAGTGCAAGTAAAAAATGTGCACAGTACAAACAATAATTGAGGTTATGTAAATGTTGATTGTCTTGTACAAGTCATGGTGACACCAATTCTTCCTTGCCTCTCTAGCTACCTCCCTTGGCCCTCTAACCCTCCCTACTTATCCTGCAACCCTAAACTTGCCACCCTTCTTGCAACCCCAATGCCCACCCCTTTGGAAACCCTAAACCCACCACACCCTTCCCCAACTCTTGCTGCAGGATGGGATTGAAGATAGAGGGGAAAGAAGAGAGAAAGAGGGAGAAATGGTATTTTTATACAAATTACTAGTTGTTCTTATTTTCACATCTCTCTTCCTCACTTATTGCCACTACTTTTGTTTTCTAGGAGAACTGATGTTTTACTACAAATTACAAGTATATCATGTTAGAAGCACTGTGAATGTTGGAAACAGTAATCAAGTGACTAATGGACTTCCTGTACAACTACTACTCCATCCTTCAAAGTTTTCAGCAAAAAACTACAAAAGCAATCACCCAGTAGCAACATCTTCACTGAAATACCTCTACTCCATTACCACTTAATTAACAAAATCAAAGAATATTTCACATATTTTACAAGATGTTGTGAAGCGGCAGAATTTGTGCAGAGTCCTGGAATTGGAAAGTCATTTCATGCCAAGTAAACCCATGCATAGTCTGTGCTAAACCATTTTTGATGTTCCATTACAGCATGGTCACAAAACCTCAACTGCCACAAGTATGCCTATGTACAGCATGGTCACAAACCTATTCACATGTCACAGATTCCTCTCATGTGGTTCAAACCACGGGAATCCCAGGAAATCAAACACTTCTCTTTCTGTCTTGAAACGCAAACTTGTGATAGCTCTTGTGCCCTGCATGATACATACACAAAGTGAGTGATGAAAGATGTGAGTCAACAAAGGGAGAAAGCAGAACGGGGATATTTATATGTGCCAACTCCTCACCCGTTTGCTGCTAGAACTCTGACTAGCCGGAAACAGTCCTGTATCATCAAGTCGATATCCCTTGGATTCAGCAAGTAATCTCAGTCTGCACCAGGTTGACAAATTGGCCAAATATTAAATATGTTCAGCTAAAGACCAAACCAGAGAGATTTGAATTTCTCCCAAAAAAGAAAAAAGTCACCGGTAAACTCCTTTGGGTCCACAAGCTAATAGGGCAAACTAGCTATGTCTGGTGCTTCTAGATAACACAACCACAACCGCAGATTTGGCAGCTATAGAGAACGATACATACAGTTTATGAAAAAGTTCAAGAAAACTCTCTATGATGAGAAAAGGAGCTTCTTGCTTTTTCAGCAAAACTGGAAAAGTTGGTGAATGCACACAGCATATTCTATGTTCATGTGCAAACATACAATCTTCATACATTTGGGCAGTTAACATGTAAAAAGAAGAAAGTAATCATACCCATGACAATCTTTGTATCATTAGAAGATAGGAAAGTCCGTTAAATTAGATGACAGAAGTGAACATACCTCCTATTTAATACATCATTCCCTGTCCAAGCTATTAGTCCAAATGCATATATGTCCCTGGGATAAACCTATGAAGCAGAACAGTAAGTTAGGAAATACCAAAACAATCAAATTTCTGCAACTATCAGTTCCCAAAAAGATCAAAGGTGGGTCTGTCAGGGAATTCACATGTAAACAATGACCACTATGAATGATTAATTATGCAAATCAGGGTTTCCTACTAAAGTAATAATTAAAAGAAGTTAACATAAGTCAAGAAAACAAATGCAGTGTCCTTTAACATGAAGTAAAAAATATCAAAGTACCTTCAAATCTATGCGATGTCGCAGTTCTCGACCAGGATACGTGCAAAGACCAAAATATGTGTCAACCCCTGTGTCAGTATCCTGTGTATTATCATATATATACAGGGATATATTAAAAGTACGCAACGACAAACATGAAAAGCAAAGACTGGATGGAATCAAGAAGGATGCACTAGATGAAGACATCCCAGCAAAAAGAACATGGAAATTAAAAAAGAAAAAGAAGAATTAACCTCTAGGAATCAAACAACAGGACTGAAGGAAACCAGCTAGAGAAGTAAACATAATACAGATATGTCTCAGATGCTATTAAATAATAATTTTCGCCTTCTCAAAATGATCTCTGAGATTCACGATTAAGGTCTCAGGGACCAGCATACAGTCCCAGAAACATTGTGCACATACAACCAACCATGTGTTTTAATGATTTAAATGTTCCAGCTGATGCTGACAACTAAAAGATATATCCACTTCAAGATATCCAAAATATGCTTTTCAATATTTACATACAGCCATATAGTTAACCACACAAACAAAATTGAGTAAGCACAAATTTTTGCTACTCATCACTGAAAAGGGAAGGAAAAAAAAATAAAAAAAACAAAGCTCTTGTCAATTTTGACACTTATCTTATCTGCAGGTATGTCAAAATTCCACAAAAGCTACAAGGAGAAATAGATGAACACGAATTTATTTATACCTATATGTTCTACACAATATTACCTCCTCACTGTGAATACTAAAGATCAAGTCTTCCCTTAAGAACTTTATATCCTTCAGATGCTTTACATATTTCCGTAAAAACCCTATATTACTGGAAGAAGAAGGTAGATTGATCAGCCTTTCAGAAATAGAAGAAACATAACTAGTAGCAAGAAAGGAGCAAACTTTTAAACTCAACAAATTTAGAGAAAAAAAAATAAAAAATGCTAATTTGATTTAAGTAGAAGTCACAGATAATATACTGCCGCATGTGATACATAAGCAGAAAATATATAAACCATCTAAATGCCTCAAAACCAGGAAGTCAAAAATCCTCAGGCTATTAAAGAGAACATAGTTATGCTTTCTACAATGTGTCAAGGTATGGGGTTTTTGAGAATCTTATATATAACTCAAGGGAATATGAGTGTGGGCAAGATTTCAGTTTGAAGAAAGGAACCTTAAAAGCCCAATTGGTAATTCGCTTAAAATTTTCGTAAGAAAAGAGAAAATATATAAACAGCTAAATAAATGGCATGAGCTCGTGGGAAACACAAACTATTTTCCTTTTCTTTGCAAGATGCGACAGATACACACACTAAAAAATGTTAATGCAATAACCAAGCTATTAAAAGATTGATCTTTACACCTTTTTCCATCAGGATGTGTGATTACAATGTCCATATCCCCACAAGAAGCTTTTCCACGTCTATATGATCCTCCACATATGACCACCACCTTTAGCACATAAATCAAGAATAAATGAGTAACCCACATATAAGTTATAACTACACATATGCATACTCTTAATTGCAAGCTAATCTTATGACTGAGGAATGACTGTTAAAGGATGTTTAAGTAATTCAAGACCTCATGCCTTCATATACAACTAGTTTGGTTCAACAAATTAACATTAAAATTTATAACTACCTTCTAGTTAACATTGATCATTTTTAGTATTTATTGATAATTTAGCTCAAGCTGACTCAACATAAAACCTCTTTTAATTGAATTTTTAGATTAAGAATTAAGTTATAAGCGATTATGCATTATCACACACTTAAAATTTTTAAATCACTGGGTATGTTCAGCTTTAAACACTTAATTTTGATACAAATAGTCCCTTAATACCAAATTCCACAATTATTATAAACCTTATATGTTAGGAGCCTCTCTCCATAGTTCATATTTGGCCTAAATTTGTAGTCCGATAACTAAACCATATCAAGCAATGAAGAAATCAACTGTGTTTATTGCTAACAATGTACCACAACCCCAAATGCAAATAAATCAACTCATAAAGAAACTCGAGTGTATTAGTAATAGCAGTCACCTCAGGCAAAATTTCTTCAGCAGCTTTCTGTAGAAGTTGTTCCATCTCTTGAACCTATGTAATTAAGATGTGCATCAAAACAAAAATTACAACTTTCAAATCACAATCAAGTGTGATGAAGAGAAAAGTAAGACCTCGTGACGTGGAATCCTCGTTTTGATATCATCAAAATATTTCAATCCTAACCTCTGTGCATTTGTTAATGAATCCTCATTCTTCAGATCATCTAGAGTTCGGTGTCCTTTATCATAAAGTTTCAATGCAGTCGCTGGACCAATGCCCCATACTTCCCCAAATAGGCTGACTGTACGAACCTGTAAAAAGAAAACAATGAAAAGTAAGATAACTTTTGACTGGAACAACAATTTCCCTTAAACATAAGCAACATATTTCATCTTTCATGCAATGAATATATGAAAGTGGGGTTAAGCACAGATGTACTCCATTTTGTTCAAAACTGATATACTTTTCTTATTCATACTGAAAAAACTATTATGCATAAACATTACAGAAGGGATAAGGCTTCAGCCATTCAGTTATGCCACAACTAAATAAAAAATCAATTATGTATTCAGAAGTTGATAAAAAAGAGTAGAGTGTGGAAGATCTGTATGATATGATGAAAAAATTAGTACAGCAGGTTAAAGAAACTATTTATTGATTTTTAAGAACCTTTACAACACCTTTTCATCTGTCTCAAAGTGCTCCAACTTGGAAAGCTTCCCGGTACTCACAATCTCCTGAATCTGCAACCAATCCGCACTTTGACTTGTAGGGTTTTATATTTATATATATATAAACCCAAAATGACTGATTTCCAAAAGAAAATATAGTAATAACTAGTCACCAACACAAACAGCAACTTCGGATGATGTTAAAGTAGATAAGTTATCTTGCGTGCCAGGCAACAATTTGAACACTATAATTTTGAAATTAAATCTGTTCACCTACATGATCCTGCATCGACTTGCCAATTGCAGGTAGATGTTTGACCTGATCCATATTTTCAATTTTGAAGGGCAACTTCTCAATAACTGCAACGGCCTTGTAATAGCTAAAAGATCTCCGATCATCACCCAGTGCTGTCATAGGAAGCAGTTATATTGCATCAAGACTCTATAAAAGTGTCAAAGGTGGGAACCCCATAAAACAAAATAATAAAAAAAAAATCCACCTCTATATGTGTTCACAAGCTTCCCAAATATCTCAGTGACATTGTGGTTTTGATCAGGTGGACTATAAGGCAAGGATGAGTCTGAAATTTCAACCTGTTAGACAAATGGTATAATCATTTATTCAAAAAAAGGGCCATAACAAAAAGGCCAAAATGATATTTAGTGCTACAGACTCATATGTGAAAGGGAGAACCAGAAGAAGAATGAAAAAAATTAGACAACAAAGATCATAACTTTCAGAAACAATCCAACAATTGAATAACAATCTTACAGTCTTAGTTAGAGCATCAGGGGTAGTAGGACTGCTGTTTACTGGGCTATGAGTGGGAGATAAATCATCAGAACTGCTGACAGTCTTCCTTTCCTCATACACAGCAATGTTTACTGTATCGTCCATATCTTTAGTTGATGCAGTTTTGGGGTCCACTGGAGAGGTTCTAATCTTTTTATGATGTGATGTTTCATCATCACTGGAACCATAACCATTAGAAGCTTTAGAACCACATTCCTTGAAAGATTTGTTTGACAAAGATCCTTCTCCTGACTCCAGAGTTAGAATGTAGGGAGCTTCGGATACTTTTTCTCCCAAACTCAAACTACCCTCTAGCCACTGGTAAAGAAGAACACTCTGCAAAAAGTCATGATATATCAATTATTATCCAATCAACAGACCTATGCACATCACCTGTAAACTTGATATGAAGCCTCAACCCAACATGATTGCCCAATTATTCACAGGGCCATTGAGTGTGAAAAAATTTAGTTAGCCAATAAAATTCAGGATGCACTAATCTTCCTCCAGAGAAACTACAATAAAATCATTCACTAAACATTGTTTAAAATTAGTTCCGATTTATTGAACTATGGTGGAAGTCTAACATTTTACACCTGTGCTATAACGTCCTTCAAGTTGCTTGCTTCCCATGAAGTTCAGCCATTGAAATTTTCTCCACAATCATAAAAGCAGTGGTTTAAGCAGGCCAGTAACTGTGAAGTTAAAAGGACTAATTGAAAAGTCCATTGAGGCAAGTTGACCGAGTCCAATTAAGTCAACACAAGCTTCAGGTATAAAGTTAATAAGGTAAACCGCTTTTTATTTGATGAACTAGTATAATTAAGCACTTGCAATTTTAAAAAGGTTAAGGTTGTGTTTGGTTCCTGGATTTGTACAAGGGTTTGAAAAGGGAAAGGAAAAAGATGTGTGAAATGTAGTTATATTTCATTCACATTTCGCCTACCTTTTCCCATTCTCTTTCCAAATCCCGCTCCAAGTTCATGAATCAAACACAACGTAAAGAAATATGGTATAGCTGTCAACATCACTGTTTTGCAACACCCTATGCAGGGAAGGAGCTACCTTAAGCCTAGGGGGGTCACGTGCCCCCCCCCCCTCAATTTTTTATATTTATACTATTACCCTTATAAATAATAATTATGTATTATTTATTCCTTAAAAAATTATAGTAGTGCCCCTCCTTAAATCATGTAAAACTAGCATTTTTAACATTTCAAGAATTCTCTATTCTATTCTTTTGTTCATTCTTGTATACACTCAAGGCAAAAATTGAATTAAGTGATCATTTCTTTCCTATGGGATTTGTTTAACTGCTTATTTCTCTCCATTGTGAAGACTTTTTGTTGAGTTGACAAAGTTGAATTTATTAATTGTAAAATTAGTTGTTTATTTTTCTCTATTGTTGAGTTAATAGATTTAATTGTTGATTGTGAATTTGTAAGTCACGTAAATCTCAGGATAATTGTAATATTCTATCTCACCGATTGATAAAAAAAAAATTTAAAAAAATGTATAAGTTGAATAAAATTCCGTTGTTACTTGTTATAGGAGGGGAAAAAAAAATAATGTTGTGATTAATGTGTGCTCCCTCTAAGATGAATTTCTGACTCCGCCACTCCCTGTGGAAAGAAAACTCCAAACCAAATTTGCCAAGAAAACTCCAAACCAAATTTGCCACAAGATAATGTGTCCTAAAGTTAAAACTCTCTCGAATCCTTGACTCAAACTTATATCAAACTAAAATTTGGGTAAAAATCACTCAAAACACCCTCCACTAGACCCAAACTTCTACCAAATTGAGTTTTATTCAAATTTTTACCCAAATCAATGGAGACTCAAATGTTTATTAAAATTTTCTAGGCTATTTTGTGGGTCTCAAATTTACCACTTTGCTATTATGCTCCGTTTGTTTGGGTGGAAAACATTTTCTAGAAAATGCATATTTTTCATGGTCAATGGCAGAAAATATGTTTTTACTTTGAAAAGGTGAAAAATGTTTTTCGAACTAAAATTTTACAAATGTCACCGCACCACCACCACCACTTTCACCTCCACCACCATACCACCATCACTACGGCCACTGCCACCGCCGTTGCCCCACCACTATGCCACCACCACCACGTAGAAAATGTTTTCCACCCACAAAAAGAACGTTAGTGAAACTTTTACTCAAATTTATGCTTAAATCTGAGTTTTTCCATTGGAGTGCTTCGCATCAAGGTTAAAGTGGTGATAGAAAGAAAAAAGTCATCTGGCAACCTCATCATAATACATAAATTAGGATTTAAAAACTCAAATTAACATATTTGAAGGCACAATTGATGAAAATAACTAATTAATTGTAAAGAAAATGTGGGAGATGCCAATACACAATTCCCTGAACAAGAATACAAGCAATCAAAACCTCATGAGAGAGAGAGAGAGAGTAGCTCACTCCTTTGAAGCGAGACAAGCGTTGTCGACCAATTTGCTGAAGAAGGGCTTCGGAATTCATGGCAAAAACATGAGTGACCTTCTTCGAAAGCCGGTCTTCAATGCTAGCCCCCATTTGCTCCAATTTCTGCTTCCAAATCTTCAAAACACCAAAACAAAAACAAAATTCATCAAAATCAAAACAATAAAATCAACGACAAAAAAACCAATAACAGAAGGGAGTAATGGTGGAGCCTGCAATCGACGAGGCTGGACTCCGATTTCCACGAGGAAGACGACCATTCCGGCGAACATTCCATCAGGATCGGACGGTGCTGATCGCTTCTTCGTTGCCTTTGGCGCCATTTCTCACTTGTTCCTTCTTCTACAACAAGCCAGGACACTAAACTGAAAAATAGTTATTATCAGATACACTCGTCTCTATTTAAACTCTCCGTGTGAACGACCACAACTTGCTCAGTGGAGCGACACGTCTAAACTTACACTTCGACAATGAGGTATTGTCACTTTATCCCTAAAAAAAAATGAATCCACTTTTCAAAAAAAAAAATGATTTTTTTAATTTTTATTAAATTTTTTAATATTTGAAGCAAATTTTTAAAATTTTAAATTCACCCAATATAAATACAATTAAAAAATATATTATTTATAAAAAAAATTAAATTCACTAAATATCATAAATAAAAAAATTCAGTATATCTTCGTATTCTTGTGTATTTATTAATTTTTAAAAATATATTTTTTTATAAATATTATACTTTTTGCGTATATCTAAGTTAGGTGTATCTAAAAAGTAAAAAAATTGCTTAAGATATTAAAAAAAATAACTATAAATAAGAAAACACAGAAAAATAAAAAATAAAACTCAATTTAAAAAAAAAAATTGAGTTCAAAATTGGAACCAAACAAAATAATTTTACTTCATAATGTTTTTAATTTTTTAAATCTCACCATTTTGTAATCAAAGATAATGAAAAAGTAATATCTCAATTATACATGCTAATTTCATGAGCAAAATGTTTATTTCAAAATTGATACATTTACATATATATATATGTATTATATTCTTCTACGTGGAATTATGTGAAAGAAAAATATATATTTACATTTCAATTTTATAACTAGAAAATTAGTCTAAGGTCTTTTTTCTATTTTTTAATAATAGGAGAGATTTACAACATTGTTTTGTAATATCTAAGATCTCTCACCTACCCCCATATATCACACTCACTCTTTTTCATCACCATAAAACTTTCATTCCTGCAATGTTATAGTACTATCGCCACCGTTTCTCAGTCTCTCTCTCTCTTCTTCATACCCTAACAACAACAACATTTGCATTCTAATACTCTCTCAAAACCAAATCCCCAATCTCATCAAGACCACTACAACAAGAATCTCAACCATAACAAGACATCTCCCAAAGCAGGACCGAGTCATAGATTTTGGGAAATACAATGGGCAAATGCTAGAGACCCTTCATTGGACCTATCACAAATGGGTCTCTAACAATCTCCGAGCTCGAGACTTGCTAGAGTGGGTTATGCTCATAAACCAAGTCCTCAACAACCCCATTTACAAGGATCGAATCGAATGGGAGTTCGCACAAAAAAGTCCTAAATGGCGACAACAAAGTTGGTAGCTCTTGGAGATTTAAAACCTCCGTCATCCAACCACTATAGCCCTCTGATAAAAGCAAGGAAGACAAACATGGTTGATAAAAACGAAATTGAAGCTGAGAGCAAAAAAGAGAAGGAGGAAGGTAAGCGAGAAGGGCTTTCATTAGAAGAGATTTCCAAGTACAAATGAAGTGCACAACAGAATCCTATGGATGTCATTAAGGTTGCCGAAGAGAGGTATGTGAAGAAAACCAAGGGATTAGGATCTTGGGCCTTGCAAAATGTTAAGGAAAGTGCACAATAGGTCAATTCTCTAAGCCAAAGAAATTTGTGAATAATGCTAGAGAAATTTCAATTTTATTTGGATTTCTCTAGTTTGAACTCAAAGAAATTTCAATTTTCTTTGGAGTTCTTATTCAATGCATCAAATACATTTTGTGCATTACTTTTTAATTAAATGATAGACGTGCAAACTAGAGAAAATTGGACGTAAATCAGAGAAAATTGGTCAAAAAATATAGAAAATTGTGAGCAAATCAAAAAGAAATTTGTAAGCAAACCAGAGAAAATTCTCTATGGACTGTGTAAATTTTCTCTAAATGTGGGAACTGTGTGAATTTTCTCTGATTGTGATCATTGATTGTAATTTTGTGAATTTTTTCTAGTTGTGATCACTGTGTGAATTCTCTCTGGTTTGTGGTCATTGTTTGTAATTTTGTGAATTTTCTCTAGCTATGGTCACTGCATCAATTTTCCCTGGCTATGATCACTGTATGAATTTTCTCAAACACTATGGGATTGTGATGTGTCAAGAGAAATTTCAATGAAAATGCCCAGAGAAATCATGAACATGGACATACAAACATACTCAGAGAAATTCTAAGGGGATTCTGATGTGTCTAGAGAAATTTCAAACATAAACACACAAATACAGTGTTCTGTGGAAATTTAGAGAAATTCTCCTTTCAGTGAGTCTCTCTTTTTCTGTATATATATATGTGTATATATATTGGTTGTTGTTGTTGCTTATTTGGGTAATCAATTTGTGTATTGCACATCATGATTGGGAAGATAGATAAATTTTTTGGTTTAAACCCAGAGAAATTTTTGTGAAAACCAAAGAAATTCTATAGAAATCCAGAGAAAATCTCTAGATTGGAATTTAGAGAAATTCTCTGGCCTTCTCAAAATTTCTCTCCAATTTCTCTAGAGAGAAATTCTCTAGGAAGAAATTCTCTGGGAAGTTTAGAAAAATTCTCTGGATCGATATTGAGGGACCTTGGACATTATGAAAATATTGGACGTCTTTTATGCTATAAAATCTTAATATCAGGGACCTTAAAACAAAATTCCCAAACTAAAGTGAAAAGTATATACATATTATTCATATGTATGTATATAAATTTTATTTTAAATAAATATTTTAGAAGTTATTTGGAAAGGTAATAAAAAGGAATTTTTTTTTCTAAGGTCTCTGATATTAAGATTTTATAGGATAAATGATATGCAATATTTTCATAATGGTTAAGGTTCCTCAAAAAATTTTCTAGTTTACTCAATTTCATTGATTTTCTCTATGTTTTGATATTTTCTTTGTGTTTTGAAATTTCTCTGAGTTGAAATTTATCTGGTTTGCTCATAATTTTCTCTGTATTTTGACCAAACCAGAGAAAATTGAACTACAAACAAGCATATTTTTGCACAACATATACAAACAAGTATGTATATCTATTGGTGTTTTCATCATCATCGAACAACATTACTACGCCAACAATGCAATCTCAATTGAGCACTACTCCAATCACAAAGACCTCCAGTTTCTTATTATGGCTTCGCTTGTTCTTCATATCTATATCTATACCTCTGCTCGCAAAAGAAAGATCATCGACATTGACCTATCTATTTTCCCAGAAGACGACGACGATGATGATATTCAAATTATCAATTCTTCATTAGCTTCTGAGCAGTCAGCGATTCATTGCAGTCTACGAAATTTGCGTGGAACCAAAGTCTTTCAGCGATTCATTTAGCATGATGGGTTGTACCCACTTTTACTGTTCTAATTGTAATATCAAGTTCATGGCCTCGAAGCTCCAGGATAATATTACCCAAATTCAATGTTCCGTCCCTGACTGTGAGAGAGAGAGAGAGAGAGAATGAGATAGCGGGTGTGATATATGAGTGTAGGTAATGAACCTTAGGTTACAAAAAAATATATATATATTGTGAATCTCTTCCATTATTAAAAGGTAGAGAGGGATGTTAAAATATATCATGATAAAATAGTCAAAAAAATTAATTAAAAAATAAAAGTATAAAGTCAAAAAAATAAGAAGTCATATAAATAAAATAAAAAAAACTTTCTTTATCTTTATTTTTTACACTTTTTTTTTTTCGTATAAAGTTAAAAGTCAATTTTAAACTCTTCAATTTTTTCATTTCATATTTTAATAAAAAAAAAATCACTACAAAAATATTACTTGCCAGACTAATCCTTAGTCATAAAATTAGCATTTACAGCTCACAAGTAATAATTTTTTTTTTGTCTTTTCATAAAAAAAAAATGTTAACAAAAAACTGAAATTTAAACAAATCAAAAAATTAGAGGAGCTAAAAGTGACAAATTTTTAATACAAAGAAGAAAATGATAATAACTCATAATTGAGTGGTAAAGAGTAATTTGCCCAAATCTTTAACTCACGTCCATTCAATTTTCAGTTCTTTTTAGCTAAAACTGAAAAGAGGGTTTATCATAAAACCCTAAAACACAACCTCCATTAAAGATACATCATTTTTACACACAAAAAAAAAACACACACACACACACACACACCCGCACACATCTTCGCATTCAAGTCCATTTCAGCTCAAAGCTGATGATTTTGCAGCAGTATTGTTGTGTCTCAATGCTCCATTTTCGCAGATTATCATCTCCACACAGACTCCTCTTACCTTTAACCCATTTTTCACAATCATCATCATCATCATCATCTTCTTCTTCTTCAAGAAAGGTAAGATTGTGTTGGCTTAATCAACCATGCCGGAGTAGAATTAGGTCATTAGGGACCGCCACTGCGGTGGCCGAATCTGCAGATAAAAATGGTACCGACACATTCTTCGCCCAAGAAAGCATTTCGTGGAATTCGCTTGGAGTATCGAATCGGCTCTCCGAAGCTCTCTCTAATATGGGCCTCGACCGACCTTCTCTGGTTCAGGTCCGCCATTCCACCACTGATCTTTTCCTTTTGCATAATTATAGAAAGGAAAAACCCATTTTCTAAATCTGATGGGTAAGTGATATGATTGGTTGATGATTGGAGAATATACGAGAGAGTATTGTGTTTAATATCCTAATTGATTGGCAGATCATTGGCCTTGAAAATTGAGTCTAATTTTTGGTCTTAATAACAATGCTCTTGTGGAAATGCGTCTAACAAGCACAACCACATAGGAGTAACTCAATAACTTAGAACGATTAGTACTTCTCTTTTGGATGTCCCATGGAAATTAGAGTGCTGTGCTCTGTTTGTTTTTATTGCAAATTTGTGCAAAAAAAAAAAAAAACTGGGTTACACTGAAACAAAAAGGGTTGCCATCATCCCAATACTACAAATTGATTACTTTTTACTGCATGAAATTCTAGTGAAGATTTTTATTTTTTTTTGTTAAGTTCAATGCTAAGAGCAGCTCCAATCCTTTCTCTCTCTCTCTCTCTCTCTCTCTCTAAACTCAAACTTATCTTAAAATCTTCCATTTTTTTTTATAAAAGAAATCCATCCCTAAGAGCATCTCCAACTCTTCATAAAATTTTTCATCTAATTTGATTTCAAATTTGAGTAAAAAGCTTGATTTGACATGAATTATTCCAATCCTTTCATCAAATGTTATCAAAATCTTTTTAAAAATTCCCCTCTTATCTCAAATTTCACTTTTCCTCAAATTTGATGAAATGCTTCATCTTTTAAAATTTCCATCAAATTCAAATTTGATGAGTTCTCAATTTGATGCGAAAAAAAAAAAAAAAATGACCCTTGATTGGATGAACATTTGATGAAATGATTGGAGATGATTTTTGAGCATTTTTTCATCAAATTTACATTTGATAAAAGAAAAGGTGAAGGATTGGAGATGCTATAATCCTTACTCTTTTTAAAATTTCACAAAATTTGATTAAAAATATGATTGTTGGAAATTTGATGAAGGATTTGGTTCATCCTTGATTTGGAGAAAATTGTCATTCCGATGATGTGATGCAGATTTGATGAAATGGCTGGAGAACACTATTAGCCATTTTTCATAAAAATTGAATTTTATGAAATTTTTGATGAAGGATTGGAGATGCTCTAATAATGTCTTCAAGATTATTTAGTTATACCATTTGAAGTGATTGAATTATGGCTTGAATGTCATGTGAAAGACAATAAATGCATACAATTTTCCCAGGATGTGCATATGCAATTATGTACCCTTAATACTATGACACCTTATACTATACCTTTATACTATGACTCTTAGGCTCTATTTGGTTCACTAGAATGAGATGGAATTGAATGGTCAATGCTTACGTTCCCCTATGGAATGATCATTCACTTAGAATGATGAATGATGATTCCATTTGCAATGTATTTTTTATTATTTTTTTAGTTAACCAAACATGGGAATAGATATTTTGATGGAATGATCATTTCATTTCATTTCATTCCCGTGAACCAAACACTACCTTAAAGTGTGAATATAAGTGTCAGAGTTAACCTCTGATTCTTGTTCACATTATTGGGTATGAAATGAATATTCCATTCTATTACAAGGCTCATCAAATGAACTGTGTCACCTTTTGTTGTTGAGGATAATGTGATAGTTGTTGATATATGTTTGTTTGCATTTCAGGCTTCTTGTATACCATGTATACTTTCAGGAAATGATGTAGTGGTTGCAGCAGAGACTGGTAGTGGCAAAACACATGGTTACCTAATTCCATTAATGGACAAGTTATGTATTACGCCTGATAATTCTGTGAATTCTACTGCTGACCTTGAATCAAACCTTCCTCATCAGCTATCTCTTGTTCTTTGCCCCAATGTCATGCTGTGCGAGCAAGTGGTTCGGATGGCTAACTGTCTTTGTGGTGATAATGGTGAACCACTTCTTAGGGTTGCCGCTGTGTGTGGGCGACAGGTACTCACATTTAGTTTCTTTTCCTTGATACAACACATCATCTATCCGGTGCTGGAAGAATTTGTTGTTAATGTGTTACTGGAAGAGTATGGTGCTTTGTTTTCTATTAGTTGTTTGATATTTACAACTGAACAAATTGACTCCAGGGTTGGCCAGTTGAGGAACCAGATATAATTGTATCGACCCCGGCTGCTCTTTTGAATTACCTATATGCAATTGACCCGGAGAGGCGCCGTCGTTCTGATTTTATACGCGGTGTCAAATACGTGGTAATTCTTTTTCCACCTCCTCTGTATATATCCTCTGGTTGCTGTAACAATTGCAAGCCTTTTGCTAATTTGATTATTTTTCACAATTGGTAGGTGTTTGATGAAGCAGACATGTTGCTCTGTGGGAGCTTTCAGAATCAAGTTATCCGTCTCATAAACATGCTTCGTTTTGACGAGAAGCTGTTATCACGGATGAGAAGACCTGTAGTTGACAAGCCAGTGGACTCATATTCTGATTCTCCTATGGATATTGAATCTGAAAATGATAAGGACCTGCAGACTGAGATAGTCCCGGAAGAGGATGAAGGTGATGAGGGTTCCTCCGATGACATAACAGAAGGGATTGAAGCTGACTCCACAAAGAAAAGAGATTGGAAAAGGGTAAGAAAAATATATGAGCGCAGTAAGCAGTACATTTTTGTTGCAGCCACTCTTCCTGAAAACGGAAAGAAAACTGCTGGGGGAGTGTTGAAACGGATGTTTCCAGATGCCAGTTGGGTTAGTGGACATTATCTCCACCATCACAATCCAAGGTGCCCCCTTATTCCCTGATTACTGGCTGTCTATTTGTCTTGATTTTGTTGATTTATTTGCCAGTTAAATGTTAATTCATGCTTCTTTGTTACTGGTTTGCATGCTTAGATCTTGAACCCCTTTGTTCATTGTATTGCTGGACACATCTTAGAATTGCATTCATTTCCATTTGTTCGTGGCCAATTTAATTACAAGAGAGTCCATTTTGTTTAGCCCTTAAGGTTGTGTTTGGATCAAGAATTTGAGGAGGGGTTTGTGGAGTGAAAGGAAATAGGAAGGGAAAAGTGAATGAAATAGAAGCTACATTTTTGTTATATTTCCCTTTTCTTTTCCTTTCCCTCCACAAATCCCTCCTCAAATCCTAGATCCAAACGCAGCCTAACTGTTCAGAAGAACTTGGTGTATAAATTAAAAAGTTTTTTGTTATTATAATAAATTTACTTTTAAAAAAACAATTTAAATAATAAGAATGAATTGTATTGCAAACAAGAAAAGCGCCAAAAGGGGTGCACCCTTGGTACAAAAAGAAAAGGGTTTAAAAAAAGCTCAACACAAAAGTTGAGCTCAGCTAAGGAATCTACAAGTAGAGAAGAAAACTAAGGATGCAAAATACAAAATACTCATCTTCAACTTGTTTAAGCCTAACTCCATCTCATCAAAAGTACGTCTCTTTCACTATATATAATCATTGCTGTTCAATAACAGCATTTCTTAGAGCTGCTATTGTTATTCCAAATGTACACTCATACTGACAAAAGTACTTGGTCACTCTGTTGCCTTAATGCACTTCTGGCAGTTTCCCTCTGCTATCCTGTGTACATGTTCTATTAAATTATCCGTATCAGTCTTTAATCTACTTGTTCCTTCATCAACCAAACCTATTGCTAATGAAGTTCTTTGATTAATAGGATTCTTATGCCAGTCCTCTTAATGGTATATGGTTCTAGTGTTGAGTATTTAGAAATTAATTTTTGTGGATAAACTGGGAGACAAGACATAAGAGGTAGTTTCAACATCAAATGTTTTCTGTGGTTTAGACTGCACAACATTATTAACTGAAGTGATGAATTTTCTCCGTTATTGTCCAGTTCTTAACTGGAGATGAGGCATGCTTATATGCTTGAGAATAAAATAATGAATTTGTGCTCTTTAAAGTGGTAACTTGACATTTTTTTTTTGTTTTGTTTTCATGATTTAATGTTGCAACTGTTAGCCTTAAAATGAAAACTATTTGACAATGGACTCATCTTCAAAAGTGGAATATAATCTTGGTTACGTTTATTTGTTTCTCCCTCCTTTTTTCTGTTTCAGATTGGAGCAGAGGTGGATCGAGGTTACAGTTGATACACAGGTGGATGTTCTCATAGATTCTGTGAAACAAGGACTCAAATCCAAAGCATTTGGTCCTGATTCTGGATTCAGACGAACAATGGTGTTTGCAAACACCGTTGAGGCTGTTGAAGCAGTGGCTAAGATATTGGTGGGAGCTGGGATTGAATGCTTGCGTTACCACAGTGATACCTCTTTTGAAGAGCGTGCAAAGAACTTAATTGATTTCCAACAAAAAGGTGGTGTTCTTGTGTGCACTGATGCTGCTGCACGTGGACTTGACGTTCCAAATGTTTCACATGTTATTCAGGTGTACATACTTGCCAAATCAATTATGTTCCTGCTTTATGCTTTGGTTGTTTTATAGTAAGAGAAAAACTAGGGGAATTTTGGGTTCCATTATAGAAAATGATCAACATAAACTCTTGTAAAGCAATCATATAACAAAATTCAGAGAGACTAACGCAAACTAGAAATTCAGCGTGGAAATTACATTTGAAGTAGCAGTTAGATGTACTCCAGCTTTGCTAAGGCATATGTTATTCATTTATTTCTTGTTCTTTTATGTCTATCTGTGTATGCCTTTGCGTGCTTGTACATTTTTCTGTTAAATTGGATCTTATATACAAGGTTGAGATTTGAAGACTGAAATATTGAACATTTGCTGACACAGATATTCATGTAAATAGCTCAACCCTACAAAGCCACTTATAATTACTAGGAATCAGTTACGTGTATCTGGTTTCTGATGGCTTTATTAGTGACAGAGTTAAAATCCACATTCTGTGCTTTGCTCATTTGCAATTGACTGTAGTAACTAAACTGTTTCTTTAAGATCTACTTTCTCTTTTGTCATTATGTTGGTGAACATTTCTTACCACATAGTTCATATTTTCAGGAAATCTAGCATGTAATCTTGTGATTTATTATTTCTTGCATGGGTTGTTTGTGAAAGCTTTGATTGGCAGTAATTAGTTGTGCCGATTTAGAATCTTCCTTGGACATTGGCTGTAATTAATTACTAACACGTCTTTAAGATCCTTTTATTTATTTTATTTTATTTTTTTATCTATTTGTATATTCATATTTTCAGGGATTCTAACTCTATGAATTTTGTGATATATTCTAGGCAGAATTTTCAATGTCTGCCGTAGATTTCTTGCATAGGGTTGGGCGGACTGCTAGAGCAGGTCAGCCTGGACTTGTCACAAGCCTGTACAATGAATCCAACCGATCTCTTGTTGCTGCTGTTCGTCAAGCAGGGACACTGGGACAGCCTGTGGTAATATTTTGAGTTTCTAATTATGGTTCATATTTTTTTCTTGGCCTTCTCTCTCTGTTACCGGAGAGTGAAATTCTCACTCCATAAAATTGTATGGACAAAAGTTTTTGTTTTGGTAATAATCTTGGAAAACCTTAGAATAATGTCTAGTTTGGCCATCAATTTTCTCCACTATCTTTTTTTAAGAACCGCCTAAAGTTCCAACTAAAAAGATGAAATGATTTTTCATTATAATTGAAGCGACAACCCTATTGGGAGGCTCTTACTTCAATTAGGCCCCATGTCCCTTGAATGGATCTCTTATGCTATGCTTGGTTGGAAGATTTGGAAAGGGAAAGGAAAAAAGAAAAGGTAGATGAAATGTGAATAAAATATACTCACATTTCACATAGTTTTACACATTTTTTTCCTTCCTTTTCCTTTTTGGGTACAACGGAAATATAAACAAACAAACTAGGACTACGCCCTATTTCCCTCCTCAGAGAGGTGCACAATATCCTCAATTAGCATATTACGGATTTCCACTGGTGGTTCATTAAAAATCAGAAGATCGGTTGGTTGATTTTCGCCTAATTTCGCCAAAGCATCAGCGCAGATGTTGGCCTCCCTCCTGATGTGCTGGATGGAGCAATCACTGCCTCTCATGATAATGCGTGCATCCTCCACAATTTCCTTCTTTTTCCAAATCCCTTCCCAAATCCCTCAACAACATTAGTTGTTGAGAAGGTTGCCCAAAAGCAGTGTAATTCTATTTAGACTATGATTTATCACACCATAAGAATTCTCAAATTCTTTCAGTTTTAGAGTTATCAGCAGCAAACCTCTTTCCTGAGTGTAGAATGTTACTGGTGAATTTAGTTTTGTTGCTGATGAAGAATATAATTTTTGTGAAGTTTTAGTATGTCCACAGTAGATGCATAGATTTTACGCGAAATTTGGTGATTAGTATTGAACTATTTGTGCACCTTCACGGGTACCATCTCAAATCTTTCCTTATGGCTGCAGGAGAAAGCATTTAGCAGGAAGAGAGGCTTCCGGAATAAGCTTAAGAAAAGAGGTTACTTTTCTATGTACTTCAGTTTGGATCTCATTTCAGATCCAAATAATTTACGTCATATTATATCTTACACGTCATTAAAAAAAAAATAAAAAAGATGTCATTTGAGTATGAAAGGTTTCAGAAATGGATTACAATTTGTGTGCATATGCATCAATGCACACCTAAATTTTGGAATAAACAAGTGGAGCTAGCCTTTGGGCTCAAGTTGAGATACAATTAGAATACTTTACATTAGTGTTAACCTCTATTTAAAATCATACTAAATTTGAGCCGATTTATCGTTATTTTTTGTAGGTTCCAGCAAACTCAATGACACAATATCTGTTGGGGATGGAATTCTAGCATAATTATGAGGTGAGTTTGAGCGGGCTTGTAAAGTAAACCTGGCATACAAACACTCAACTGGTAAGTGTTCCTCTTAGAAATGTAAATTTCATATATTAATTTTGTTAGCAGTAAATCCTTAAAAGGCCGATTGAGTAAGAAACATTACAAACGACAAACACCTGGAGGCATGTGGTGTGTGAACAAAGAAGCCCTAGAGGACAATCTGTTGAACACCCCTCCCCTGCGTACATTGTATTAATTTTGTTATCGTATTGATCATTAAAACAGGTCTCTCTCTCTCTCTCTCTCTCTCTCTCTCTCTCTGTGGCATGTTCACTAACCCTCATCCATTTCGGACACACAACCCAATGCAAGCCTTATCGGACCGTGGCCAATGGAATGCGTACTTTTCAGGATTTGGGGTCTCTGCAGGGTTGCAGGTGCTATGCCTCAACATTGAGTTTTGGATCCCAGGCGGAAGCAGACCAAAGGGACCCGCAGAAGGTGGACCTTCTCTATCCAAACAGCCTGGCAATTAAAAACCATTATTTAAAAAAAAAAAAAAAAAATTTAATTACCAGGACATTGTTTATAGTTTTATTTTTTGTTTTTGTTTTGTGTTTTTAGAAAACATCAAAAACTTGTTCAATGGTCTGTTTTTGAGATTTTCTTTTGCAAAACAACCCTTTTTTTGACAAACAGTAAATAACTGTTTATGAATTTTTCAAAATATTTTTCGTACAATCCAAAGAATGATATGAAAATGATGGTTGTTTTTAAATTTTTTTAATTTGTTTATAAAAAAAGAGAAAAAAGAAAAAGAAAAAAAAAAGCACACAATCAAACTAATCTTCAACTGTTTTTCAATTATAAAATTATTGGAAATGAGTCAACTGGGACAAATTAGTTAGTCAATTTTTACACCAAGTTTAGTATTCAAGTCTTCTCACACGTAAAACTCACTTTATTTTAAAAAATATTTGGTAGTTCTAAAATAATAATTCTAAAATACTCTAATATGTGAATCTTACTTGCGATGTGATATTTTTTTTTTTATATTTTATTTACGTTGTCATATCATTAGAGCTTGCTCCTTAAGGGTCTGTATTGTATCATTGTTGATTTATTTTTTCATATGATACATTTTTTTATTTTGGAGCTTTAATTGAGCTTTAATGATGTGATAGAGAATAAAAGAAAAATTAAAATCAAAATGTCACATCATAATGAGATTCACCTCCATTAAAACTCATTTGTTAGAACTCGGAATCATTTTCTTATAAGGAAATATATTTGCCAGTAGAGTTCACAGTATTTATTGGGGTGGGCTCTATGCTCATTGTGTAGGTGATAGAAAATAATATGTTAAAATAAATACTAAATAAATTAAAAAAAGGATAATGTTTGAGAGCTCGAAACATTGTCCCCTCGAATCCCTCTAATGCCCAAAACGACGTCGTTTTGGGCATTAGGCTTTTTTTTTTTTTTTTTTTTTCGAGCTCTCAAACATTATCCTTTTTTTAATTTATTTAGTATTTATTTTAACATATTATTTTCTATCACCTACACAATGAGCATAGAGCCCACCCCAATAAATACTGTGAACTCTACTGGCAAATATATACTCTGGCAGCTCCGCCGATCGTCGCAGCTCCGCCGATCGTCTGTCCGCCGTCTGCTTCCGCCGCCGCCGTCTGCCTCTGTTTCTTCTTCTTCCCTTCTTCTTCTCGATCTTCTTCCCTTCGTCTGCTTCTTCTTCTCTGATTGAACCAAAAACGGCGTCATTTTTGGTTTCGGGGGATTAGGGGGGGCAATGTTTCAAATTACGTAGCACGGTCCTAAAAAAAAATAAACAAACAAACAAACATAAAAGTTGGTATCTTCCATAATTATTGGACATGTGAACACATCGGTTTTGTTTGGACTACTTTGGGAAGTGGGTTAAAAGTCACTTCTCAACTTTTAACTCACTTTTCTCTCTCACAAAAAAGTCAAAAAGTAACTTTTGATCATTTTCTCAAAACACTCACTTTAGAAAATGTCACAAGAATAATGTAATAATGTCATATAAAAGGGTAATTGACACTAACTTTTTTTGAGATTGGAGAAAATATAAATAGTTTTATAGTTTTGATTTAATTATATCAATTTTTTTTAATACAAAATTAATGTAAAGAAACAAAAAATAGATAATAAAAAATATATATTTTAGTGTAAAAAAGATAAAAATATCGTATTTTTTTCTTCATATGACTCATAAATTATTAATGAAAAAAGTCAAAATATTATATGAATTAAAACTTTAAAATACTTAATATAATTATGTTAAAATTATAAAACTTATATTATATATATATATATACTTTTTTTTAAATATCAAAAAAGATTAATCTAATTTACCCTTAATGTGAATTCACATTGCCCTGTTTGGTAAGACTTATTTCCAGTTTATTTTAGCTTTCAGTTTAATTTAAGCTATTTTGATGTGTTTGGTTCAGCTTAATAATACAGCTTATAGCTTTTTATAAGTCAAAAATCAACTTATTCTTTGAGTAGGGGAGGAGAAGCTTAATTTATAAGTCAAAAATCAGTTTATGTTCACAATTATAAGTTATAAGCTATTAGGTTATAAATTATAATCACTTTCTCACAGCTCTACCAAACGGGACCATTATGCCATATCTTTCTCTCTCTCTCTGTAATTACTTTGTTCTAATGTAAATCACAAAGATATATACATAAGTTTGTTGTTTATATACATCATTACTCCTCCACAACTGGTGACATGTTAACACAATGATTCTGTTCGTGATACACGATGACTCATGCCGGTTTTCACTTCTTACATAGAGTTACAAAATGTCTTTGTTTGGATGGTCATGAGAAAATGATTGCTTACACTTTTTGAGTGCGTAAATAATGGTAAAAACTTATACATTTATATTCATAAATTCACTTATAATGATGTAGTATGAGAGTTGGGCCTACATCATTAAGTGTATAATAAATTAAAAATTAATACATATCTTGCTATGTCATTGTAAATAATGGTAAAAACTTATACATTTTTATTCATAAATTCACTTATAATGATATAGTATGAGAGTTAGGCTTACATCATTAAGTGCATAATAAATTAAAAATTAATACATATCTTGCTATGCCATTGTAAATAGAATGGTGAGTACCTTTTGAAAATCTCAAACATTTTTCATATATAAATTATGAATAATTAAAAAATATAAATTTGATATTTGAGAAGTGTAACGGTCTCATTCAAAATGATAAATCTTATTGTTTTGTATTAATCAAAAAGTGTATTATTTATACAATTAAAGAATGTGTGAATAAAATTAGACTCCTATCAAAATTATGGATATATTAGTTGTTTTTGAGGATTACTCTTACAATTATACTACAAATTTAAAATTATTACCAAAATTGAATCCAAAATTATCGATGTATAGTAGTGAACTATTAAATTTCAAGGTATATTTCTTCACTCAAGTTGGGGTCTCTAGAGTTTTTTGAGTGTTGTACAACAAAGTATTGCTGAACTCAACTAGTAAACCAAATGATATGTGAGAAAGCTCAACTGAAAAAGACTAGTTTATTTGAAAGAGTATTGCTAGAGACCCCAAATATTTTATCAAAAGTTTTACCAAATGTCTCATATGGGTGTGGGACCCACACAATGTGAGTCCCATGTGGGTCCCACACCCATGTGAGACATTTGGTAAAATTTTTAGTAGAATTTTTAGGACCTCTAACATTTTTGTATTTGAAAATAACAGGGGAAAAGGCTTCCTAATCATTTGGCACTTTAAAAAACTGGGGAAAGAGGGGGTGGGAAGTACAATAAAGGAGATTGTCCATAAAAAAAATAATATTTTAAAAATGCTTACAGGATTGCTCAATTGTTCCACATTGATTGTTAAACTAAAAACATGCTATAAACAATCCTTTCTCTCCACTCCCAAAAGAGCAAGGATCCTCTAGAGTTTTTTTTTTTCTAAAGTTTCCTAGAGTGGTGCATTATGTGGTTGAGATTTAATGACAAGTCACATCAATTTTTCAGCATTAAATCTCAACCACACAATACACCACTTTAGGAAACTTTAGGAAAAAAATACTCTAGAGGATCCTTGGTGCTCCCAAAAACCACACTCTTAACATATTCAAAAAAAAGGAAAATGAAAAAATCAATTAAAAACACAAATCACACAAAAACAGAGACATCTTCTTGGTTAAGAATTCTGTGTCTTTAAAATTTCTATCTCTCTATCTTCAATCAATTCTTAATCATAAGATATGAAAAATTTTAAAATATATATATCTCGAGATATGATTTTATGAATAAATAGATCCTCTATCCGCAATCCATGCACAAATTCATATGCTTTATTGGTGACAATGGCCGTTGGTGACATCTTTGACCTATCCTTTGTTATTACTACTATATTTCAATTGCTCCACAAATTCATCAATGCACTTATCTGAACTCCCTCCTTCACTAATAGCCTCCTTTGCCAACCCTTTCCATTTGCTTACATTCTTTCTAATCTCAACACTTCTCTCTCCTTCCATGACTTGCTTCAAACAAGACATGAGCTCTTCTCTCCTCACAACCCCTTTCTCATCCTCCTTAGCCCTCACACCAACCTTCCATATCTCGTCTATGTACTTAGCATCGGTCAACTGGTCCGCCCATTTGGGTACCCCAACCATTGGCACTCCAAGGCTCAACCCTTCCAGAGTCGAGTTCCAACCAGAGTGTGTCACAAAGCAACCTATGCTTTGGTGAGCCAACATGTCAAGTTGGTTACACCATGTCACTATCAAACCCTTATCTGCTGTCGAATCCACGAACTTGGAGGGCAATTTATTGAGCTCAGAATCCCTAACTACCCAAATGAAGTCCAAATTGCTGCCTTTCAAACCCCATGCTATCTCTTCCATTTGTTCATTTGTCAATGAGACCATGCTTCCAAAGGACACGTAGACTACCGACTTGTATGCCTTCATTTTTAGCCATTTGGTGCACTCTTCGCTGAGTGGCTTCCATAGACTAGCTCCGTATCCTTTGTCCCCCTCAATTCGACCATCCAAGTGAGCCGATGGCACCATTGGACCGATCAACTTTGCCGACCAGAGCTCTGATGCACCTTTTGCCGCCTTCAACCAGCACACAACACATGGAATATGCTATTGATATCGTTTGCAATTTATCGATGCAAATATGAAAATTGTGTTTTTTGTTTTTGTTTTTTTTTGTGTGCGCGCGCTTGAAATGAAAGTAAAAAACATGTTTTCAAGAACTTGTTTTTAAAAAAAGTGAGGAGGTGGTTGTCCTAGGGGGTGATAGGCAGATGTGTGTGGTTACTGGTGGAGGTGATCGGAGTTAGGGGCCAAGGGGTGGTGGCCGGAGGATGGGAGAAATTAAAAATTATTTATGAAACAAGAAAAATCTTTTTTTTTTTCGTTAAGTAGAATTTAATAATAAATTTTGAAAATTATTCCCATTTTTTTTTAAGTAGTAGAAAACATACACCATGTTTCGCTTTTCAGTTTTCAAAATTATTGTAAACATAAAAACAAAACTGTTACCAAACGCGTAAATGCACTGGAATTTCAAAATTAAGAGGATAGTCAATTATAAAGATATAAAAGGATTCGCCTATAAATATTAAAAAAAAAAAAATTAAAATTTGAAAAAAAAAAATTAAAAATGGAAGATTAGCCTAAGCCCTGCATTCACATTTATGTAAACAAGTTGGCTTATTTTTGTTTTTTAGTTAATTTTTTTGAGTTTTTAATTTTAAAATCTTTTAGTCTAATAGGCCTACAAAAAATTAACTCAAACTCTTACCCCCCCAAAAAAAAAAAACATTTATAAAAAAAATATGTTGATCATACAATCAGATATAATCTTTTCACTGTAAGCTCTACTTTTATAGTCCAAAAGGAAAATGAGTGAGAATACTAATTAGTGCTATCACTAATGATGTGACAGTAGGTCCCACTACTATCACAGTATTTTTTATTTTTTATTTTACCTCATTAGTGATGGGTTAGAGCTACCAAATTAGAGGCGTCTAGCATGATTGAGTCCAAAATCTGATACTTAATTTTTAAGTAGGGAAGCACATAAAGATAGAACTCATATCAAATAAAATAATTGTGTTTGATTTTGTAATGATATATAGAAAATTTAAAAAATAAATAGGTATACCTCGCCTTCCAATTCTTCAAAGGAGTTACAAAAAACCCAGTCAGCTTCATCCAAATTCGAATACTGATTCAGTTTCATCGCCAAGTAAGCCGGATAACTCTCCGGCGCCTTCAAAAAACTCGGCAAATCATCAAAACTCAACGGCGGCAACCCCGGCACCACCAACGGCAATTCCTCCCTCATCACCGGCAACCCCAAAACTCCCAAATGAATCCGACAAAACACCGCACACACCGCCACCGAGTTCGTGAAAAACGGGGCTCCAAACACGCCATGTTGCTTCGCCACATCGAGAGCCCAAGGAAAAAATGAGTCGTAGATGACACAATCAATGGGTGTGCTTGAAGAGTTGTACTTTTCAATGAGTTGAGAGAGAGTTTTGGAGCCATGGGTTTTGAAGGATTTGAGGTACACGTCGGTGTTGCGTGCTTGAGAGAAGCCGCCGTGGTCGAAGCCATCGGAGATGGATTCGAGGGAGATGGAGGGGGCGGAGATGGAGGAGAGGGTGTAGGGGGTGGTGGCGAAGGTGGCTTTGATGCCTTTGGATGATAGGCGTTTTGCAAATTGGAGGAGAGGGTTTATGTGGCCTTGGCTTGGGTATGGGATCACTATTACGTGGCTTTTGTATTGTTTTTTTACCTCTTCCATTGTTGTTATTGGAATGGAACGACTTGGGATGTTTCTCTTATGCTTTCTTTTCTGCCAGTTTGTTTCACAAAGGGTCCTATTTATAGGCATAATATTTTACTCTAAATAAATGATTAAATATCTCAAATGTATAGGCGTTTTTATAACTAGTCACATTTTATTCTATAGGTGTTAAATAAATAAATGATTAAATATCTCAAATGTATGTAGGTCTACAAAATTACGGATCTCATATATTTGATCATTTATTTGGTAAAAAATTTAGTTTCCCTAACATTATCTTTTATTCTAATCTTTTGAATGGATTAGTCATTATAATAGTTGTTTTAATAAAATTCTTTTAGACACTACAAAGAATTAAGATACTAGAGACGGTTGTTTGGGGTGTCCTAAATAAGTGCACTTTTTTCCTTTTTGGACTAAAAAATTGAGGAAGAAAATATGGATGTTTGGGTTAACTTTCTGACTTTTTATGAAAAAATATGTAATAAAAAATTGTAAAAATTGATTTGTATGAAAAAATTAGAATTGGGAGTTGTGTAGCTGTAATTGTTGACTTTTGGTGAATAGTGTTAACTTTTTAACTTTTTGACTTTTTTGTAATAAATTAGACGTTAGTAATAAATTATTATCTTTTTCGGACTAATTTTTTTTGTCTCAAAAGATAAATCATTTTGAAATTAAATTATTTTGTTCTTAAAAGTGTATTTATTAGTGACATTTTCAAAATTTTGTCGCTAAAAGCCTTATTTTTGACTTTTCAAGACAACTTTTTAGCCGCTATCCTCACGACGATAAAAATTGGTCTCTAAATGTCTTTTGCGACAAAATTTTCACTTTTAGAAACAAAAAAATTTGGTCTCTAAAACTCTTATATGTTGTAGTGAGATTAAGGCCAAGTTTGACAATTGTAAAATAATCCATCTTTTTATCTTTTTTTATCACATCACCTCTTTACTTTTCTGCACATATTTTCATAAAAAGATAAAAAATACACTTATTTAGGTCATCTAAATAACCCTTAATTATATTTAGGTCCTATTTGGGGATTGAGGTTTTATCCAAAAATTCACTTCAAGTTATTATATTACTCGTTCTATTTTTTCTTTGACCTTTTTGTAAAATGTCAAACAATTGACTAAAATAATCAATTCTCAAAGGGGCCTTAGAAAGTGTTGAGACTCTCTTTAAACAATTTTGTGTAGATAAATAGATAAATAAAGAATAGCGTTAGAGCGCGTAGATGAAAAATGATAAGTTAAAATAGAAAGTGTTCTTTTTCTCTACTTTATAATCGTGAAAAATAAAGAGTAGATTTGGAGTTACTCTCATATTTATTAGGAAAGCTATTAACCCAGAAAAACTATTTACTAGGAAAGCTATTAACCTAGAAAAATAGTTTAGGAAATGGAAAATGCTAGAGATACTAAAAGATTGACCAAATCATGAAAACTTTGGTCAATTTTTTAATCTCTCTAACATTACTGTTAGGGGATTTATTTAGAGAACAAAAATGTTAGAGGTCCTAAAAATTCTACCAAAAGTTTTACCAAATGTCTCACAATGTGAGTCCCACACCCATATGAGACATTTGGTAAAACTTTTGGGGTCTCTAGCATTACTCTTTAGAGAATGATAATGGATGGTGTGGATTGAATTTTGGACCCATCTACTAAATGCTCTTTAAATACTCTGGCATCCTAACATTACTGAATATTTACATAGAGTGTGGGTCTCATGTGATGTGAGTTCCACAAAACTTATGTGATATGAGTATTGAATGCTCTTTTTAATAAATATTTTGAATTTCTAATATTATTGAATATTTGTTTAAAAAAAATATTATTGAATATTTACATAAGGTGTGGGTTCCATATGATAAGAGTCATGAAATTCATGTGATGTAAGTATTATAATGTTTTTGAAATTCTTTTCTTTTAACGAGTTTTTTCAAATTCGTAACATTGCTCAAAGTATAAAATCCATTTGGTCATGTTTGTTTAGGGAGCAATGCTAGGATTTTGGAAAAATTATCCAATATTCTGCACAATAGTCATATACCTTTGTTTAGAATGTTTGATAATTGTTTTGGGAGCTGTTGGCATTATTTTTAGGAATATAGAAACCAAACACAAAATTAGATACAAAATATATATGAACTAAATAAGGATCCGACTATTAAATTTTGTAAAATCTTATCCATTTATGTATATGTGATTTAGGGGTGCTCAAGGATCCACAACAATGTGATTGCCATATTATTTTTGTCATGAATTTTGTATGAATATTATTTTTCTTCTTTAAAAGCGCCTATTAAATGAAATAATGAAAATATATGGGAATGGACTGTATCAATCGAGATGGCGTCTAATCTAATTTGGACACCTAATTATTAAATATATATAAACTTTTGTTAATTTGTGGATATATAAAGAAAGTATTTAATGAGTATAATTAACTCCATTTGTATAGAAAGTAGCAAAAGTTTAAAAGCTATCTAAAGTAAATAATTTTTACAACATTGCCTCGTTTGGGATGTAGTTTTAGTTTAAAAGTCAAAAAAATTAAGAAGCCTATAACTTATATCAAAAAGTTAAAGATTTTATTTTTTTTTTCTACTTTTTACACATCTTTTCGTAAAAAATTAAAAAGTCATTCTAAATATACTAATTTTTTTTCTCATATTTTAGCCAAAAAACTAAAAAATTATTAAAATAATTTATTCCCAAATGAGGCCTAAGACTAAAATATCCTTTTTGCTTTCTCTCTGTTTTACTCTTTCATCTTTTATTTTTTTATTAACTTTTCACATTCGTCTAAATTTGATATGTTTACCTTACACTATTTCAAATGATTCGCTTAAAATTTTTCATTACTATAAAGAACAAAAAAAAAAAAAAAATTAACTAAAATAATCAATTCTCAAATAGGGCCTTAGAGAGTGTTGAAACTCTCTTTAAACAGTTTTATATAGATAGATAGGTGAAATAAATAATAGTGCTAGAGCATGTAGATGAAAAATTGCAAGTTAAAATAAAAGTGTTCCTTTTTACTTTAGCGTAGTGAAATTTAAAGAGTAGAGTCAGAGTTACTCTAATATTTACCAGAAAAGCTATCAACCCAGAAAAACAGTTCAGGAAATATAAAATACTAGAGATCTCCAAAGATTGACTAAAATTTATACAAATATTTCACATGGGTGTGGGATCTACTCATATAAAATATTTGGTAGACATTTTAATTAATCTTTTGATGTTTCTAATATTACTTTAAAGGATGTACCTAGTGAATGATAACAGATGGCGTGGATTGAATTTTGTGTAATGGGACCCATCTTTGAAATGCTCTTTCTGAATAAAATACTCTAGACTTCTAACATTACTGAATATTTACATAGTGTGTGGGTCTCATATGATGCAAGTCTTACGAAACCCATGTGATTTGAGTATTGAATACTCTTTTTGAATAAATATTATAGATTTCCTAGCATTATTGAATATTTACGTATGGTGTGAGGTCTCCAAACATTGCTCAAAGATATGTGAGTATTATGTAGAATATTTGATAATTTTTTAAGTCCTATCATTACTCCCAAAACAAACATGGACACTGTCAATTAGGTTAATCTCTTTCGACAACAACAATCACAGAGTATAAAAAGAAAAATCAACTCTACAAAGGTAGTAAAGGCAAACGAAATATGATAGGCTGGTGGCACACTTAAAACATTTGACTTGATTTTTTCTCCTTGAGTTCAAAACTTCAAGAGATATTGCATTTTGTTTAAATGAATGCTTAGTCACATATATCAAAAAAATGTATTTGATACCATTGACAATGATATTCTCATTTCACATTTTCAAAATATGAAAACTCGTCGAATTAAATTATTGAAACAATAATATGAATATATTAAAAACATTTCTTCTATTTATGATTTGAATATTAAATTTAGTTTGTTGTTTGTTGCCAATGAAAACTTAGAATGTACACTTATGAATAACCCATCTATTAAAATTTCTGAAGTCTTCACTAATTGTTTTGGGATATGTTGGCATTGTTTAGGAATATAGAAACCAAACACGCACTCAGATACAAAACATATATGAATTACTAATTTTTTTTTAATGAGGATCCTATCAATAAATTTTATAAAATCTTAACCATTTATGGATATGTGATTTAGCGGTACTCATGAATCGGGTTGGGTCGGGTGACCTCTCATCCGCCATCCGTCTGAACTTAAGTGGCTTTGGAAAAATCAATCTGCATCCGTCTACTTTGTTAGCGGATACGAATTGAGTGGATCGTACGGATTGGCGGATGAATGTAAATTGGTTTGTGTTTTATTGTTTTGGTCATTTTTTAAAGTTATTTTCTAATAATTCTTCACTATTTTGAGCTCAAAAATTTTTGTTGTTCATTTTTTATAATAAAAATAAAGACCCAACTTTTATATTTATTAAATAAATAAAAAGTTATTTTAACACAAAAAACATAAAAGCATAACTTTATTTTTTAAGAGTGTTAGCGAATCAAATTATATCGACTAGTCTCCCATTCGCCATTTGTCTGAACTTAGGTATTTGTATTGCTAGGTTTGAAGATGTGACGAGAATTAAATAGGGACATTTACTAATAAATCATATTTTCATGACTTATGGGCCATTTAGTCCTATAAATATTTTTATGATACCATTAATCCTATTTCACATTAAAAACTCTCAAATGAAATATATTCACATTTGAAAATGTAATAAAACAATAATGCACACATTAGAATGATGTTCCATTTTCACATTTTCATAATGACGTATTTGATAAAAGTTTAATAAGACAATAGTGTACAAATGTCTCATTGGCATATTTTGAAAAGAATGACACATTTGAAAAAAGTTTAATAAGACAATAGTAGACACATTAGAATAATGTCTCATTGTCACATTTTAAGAATGATACATTTGACAAAAGTTTAATAAAACAATAGTATACAAATGTTTCATTGTCACATTTTAAAAAAAATGGCACATTTGACAAAAGTTTAATAAGACAATAGTATA